GTACACCAAAATCACAAAATATTGCTGAAAGAAATGAAATCCTAATAAATGAACGGATGTGTCATAAGTCATGGAGTGGATGAGCCAGCATTTTTTTTTTTAAGATTTATTTATTTATTTATTTATTTATTTATTTGAGAGACCATGAGCGCATGGGGTAGGGGGGACAGAGGAAGAAGGAGAAGCTGAATCCCCACTGAGCAGGGAGCCCAACACGGGGCTCGATCCCAGGACCCTGAGATCATGACCTGAGCTCAAGGCAGACGCTCAACCAATGAGTCCGTATTTTTAAGATGACTTTTTTTCCCCCAAAACTGATCAGTCCCAACTAAATCTAAGAAGGCTTGTCCTGAGGAAATTGACAAAATGGTTCTAAAGTTGTTATGGAATTGCAAAAAAGAAAAAACAGTGTTGAAAGACTTAGGTACCTGATTTTGAAACTCCCTGTAAAGCTCTGGTAATCAAGACAATGTGACATTGGCATCCAGAGAGACCAACAGAGAGGAAAGCAAAACCACAAAAACAGAGCAAACCTGGGGAAAAAAATGAATCCAGAAATAGACCCCATGTCACCAACTCCATTGAGTAGGGAAAGAAAAGGTTTTTTGACAAATGTTTTAGAATGACTGAAGATTTAGATGGGTATAAGTAGCCTCAATCCCTTCCTCGTAGAATACACGAAAATCACGAAAATCTGTTCTAGGTGGATCATGGCCCTGAATGTCTGTGATGAGAGTTTTAGAATAAAGCTTCCAGGAAATACTGCAAAGACAGTCTTCATTACTTGGGATATGCAAAGATTTCTTAGGGCACAAAAAAGCACTAAGCATAAAAGGAAGACGTGATAACTGGACTTCATCAAAATTAAAGTTAATATGGTTAAGAAAATTGATAGAAAAAATACAGACTGGGAAGATGTATTTATAATAACATATCTGACAAATCCGCAGAAGACTTGAATATACATTTCACAGAAGGAGACCTACAAAGGGCCAATAAGTGCATAAAATGTGCTCAGCATCTGTAGTTATCAGGAAAATGCTGACGAATCACATGGCATACTTGCGTAGGCAGCACATAGCCCACAGTGAGGACAATACAGAACAGGTAAGCACAGCTACTGCAGGGTGACCTGCAGATTTGAGAAGCATTCCATGTTCTGTGCGGTTCCTGAAGTTCCTCCCTTTGCTGATTAGCTCCCCAAAAATGAGTCAAAGCACAACATGTGGTACTCCATTGAAACTGTGATTTTCACTTAAAAAAAAAAATACAGTACTTCCATGTCTCACCTCCTAGAATAATTAAGATCAACAAGGCTGACAGTACTAAATGGTGATGAAGACACGGAGCAGCTAGAACCCTTAATCATTGCGAGTTTGGGGACAGATTTAACAGTTTCTTATAAAGTTCAATGCATGTCAGCCCTGTGAGCCAGCATGTCAAGAGTATGTACCGGAAAGGAAACCTGCCTACAAACTTATTTGTACAAGCTTTGTCAGGATAGCCCCTAACTGGAGATAACCCAAATGTCCCACAGCAACAGGTTGGAAGAGTACATGATGACGTGTTCATACAGCAGAACACTTCCCAGAACGCAGAGGGGCAAGCTGCTGCCGCAAACATCATGTGTGGATTCCAGAATCATCGTGTTCAGTGAAAGCCAACACAGGAGAATACATGCTGTGTTATTTTATATGAAGTCTGATAATGGGTTAATCTGTGGTGTTAGAAATCACAAAGTGGTAGCCTTTTGGGGTCAGAGGTGAAGGAGTTTTTATATGCTATTTGGGGTGGTAGTCACGTGGGTGTATACGATTGTCCAAATTCATGTAACCAAATGTGAAAAATCTGTGCATTTTGTTGTCTGTAAATTACACCTCAATTAAAATGGTGAAAAGATCATGGTTGAGACACAGATCTGCTAGGAGCACCAAAGAACCTGGCTTGAGTCCTGCGGGCAGGACCACTGCTAGCATTCAACTGCCAGCGTGGCCAGCCATGAGCCTGTGCTGTGCCCAGAGTCTGCTTCGTGCTCCCCATAATCTGCCCCAGGGGACACCGCCTCCCCTGACCCCTGTCTATGGATAACTCCCTCGACTCCTCCAACACCCAGCACAGTAGATGTGCCCAACATCAGCACTTTGGCACTGTGGCTTCATTATGCACATTTCCACTCGGGAATTTGTTACGTAAGCTTATGGTGCTGTGTGCTGAGGTGTTGGATTTTCTGTGCTGTGTTTAGGATGTGAGTCTGTATATTTTCAGCTGAGATTTAAATATAGCTTATGTGTTCAAGAAGTGTTTAATGCCTAACTGACAGTACTTTTATACCAAAGAAAAAATGATTTTTAGTATGAATATGTCCATATGCAACATACTTTTTGTACAGCTGAACTTTAGGGTGAATCCTTTTTTTTATTATTATTAATATAACCTGAAATTTCAAACATGCTCTGTCATTTCTGAATAAGCTCCAGTTGGAATGTGGATTTTCTTTCCTGCTGGTCCTTTTTGCAAATATTTGATGATCTTTAAATACTCGGGGGCACTTTTATTATGCATTAGGGATCTCCTTATTTAAAGAAACTCCAGCTTACATTCTTTGTCAAAGTAAATTTTGTTCAAGCAAGGAAATTTTGTTAAATACACAGTCCCTCATATGTATCTTGAAATCTCGATTTTTTTGTACCTTAAGATTTTTAAAGTTTGGAAACAACTATATATTAACTCTTTACCTCCTCCTTCGTGTATCCCTTATTAATGAATGCACAGAAGGATTTTGCTCCAGATGCTGAGTTGTCCCTTCCCTGCGCCTACAAGTTGAGAAATTTATTCCTGGTCATACATATTTTTCTCTGACATAATGCCTTGAGCCATCACAACAAAATCTGTGAATTAAATTAATTTACAGAAAACATGGGCTTATTTTGCTCCATTAATATTTGAAATGTTTGGGATTCAAGGAATTATGAAGGGAATTATTGAAAACCTTGCATTCGGCTTGAATAGGTCCAGTAAAAGTCCCGTGTACCTTCAAGTGCAGACGCCTTTCCCGAGCCTGTTCCTTCTTGTCCTGCCGCAGCTCCACGCCAAGAAAGCCACTGCCTGGCTGCCACTGTGAAGGCAGCGACAGGGGGATGGAAGCCTCATTCTAGATCTGGAGCATCGCTGTTCTTTTTTTTTTTTTTTTTTTTTAAGATTTCATTTATTTATTTGAGAGAGAGAGAATGAGAGACAGAAAGCAGGAGAGGGGGTGCCTGGGTGGCTCAGTCGGTTAAGCGACTGCCTTCGGCTCAGGTCATGATCCTGGAGTCCCGGGATCGAGTCCCGCATCGGGCTCCCTGCTCGGCGGGGAGCCTGCTTCTCCCTCTGACCCTCCCCCCTCTCATGTGCTCTCTCATTCTCCCTCTCAAATAAATAAATAAAATCTTTAAAAAAAAAAAAAAAGAAGAAGAAAGCAGGAGAGGGAGGAGGGTCAGAGGGAGAAGCAGACTCCCCGCCGAGCAGGGAGCCGAAGGCAGTCGCTTAACCGACTGAGCCACCCAGGCGCCCCTGGAACATTGCTGTTCTTAAAGGCTCCACTCCCCGTTGAGCAGTGGTAGCGTCTCCCTCTGGCGTTGGGTGTCACCACCTGGAAATCCAGCTGATGACTTGATATTGCAGCGGTCCTCGCTGGACCGCGACTGTCCCTCATCCAGGACCCTGGAGAGCACTTCTGGAAGGACTGGAATCTGTCCCTCGCTCTTCCCCACGCGCTCCAGGGACCTGACTCCAGGTGCTTTCTGGAGTGTTTCTGCTGCGCCGACGTCGGTAATTTAAGAGGGGTGGCCGTGGACCCCAAAACCACGGAAGGTGAGAACAAACCAGGAGGAAGTGTCTTTGTGAGACTGACATGAGGCTCAAGCTCACGAGGGGCAGGTCCCTGCTGGTGTGTGGGGCTGACAGGGGTGTGTGCTCGGGACGGGGAGCTCTCTGTTCACATGTGGGGCTGACACAGGGGCGGGGTGCGTGCTCGGGAGGGGCAGGTCCCTGCTCACACAGCTGACCTGGACTGAGTGCAAGCCCAGGGCTCCGTTCCTTCATGCTTCACATGTACTTGGGCATCTTCTCTTGTAGGTTCTCTTGTGGAGGAGCAGGGCTAGGCATCCTGATTTTAGATATGAACGCATCCAGGCTCTCCTTCATGATTGTCATCGGAGCCTTGGAACTACAGTTTACCTCGAGCAATGAGGGGCTTAGGGGCGCTGACCCCCACCCAGTGGAAAACCCACATAGAAGGAATTTCTGACTCCCCGGAAACTTTACTAATAGCCCACTGTTGACCAGGAGCCTTAGTGATGACATAAATAGCTGCTTCACACCTATTTTGTGTGTTTATGTATTATGTACTGCATTCTTGCAGTAATGTGAACTAGACAAACAAAAACATTACTAAGAAAATCAAAGGGAAAAGAAAATCTACTTATATTACAGCCCTGGTTTCTCAGAAGCAGTCCGCATGTAAGCGGACCCGCCTGGTTTAAAGTCACTGAAGGAGCAATTGAATTTCAGTGAGGGAACGTTCAACAGTTTGGCCATAAAATGCATACTCCCTACTTCCCTCAGAAAAGAGAAGAAACTGCAAGCATCATACCCTTAAACTGCCGGGCGATACCACTGACCTTGTATATTAAGGAGGTGACTCGAGTCTGTATGTCCAAGGTGGTCATCTGTTGCTCTCTTCCGTTGCTCTGTGGGTTTGTTGACATCTAGGATTTTTGTTTGTTTGTAGTCTTTAATGGTACAGTGATTGATTTTAACAATTTCCATATTTGACATTGTTTTTGATCTTCTTTTTACTTTGTTCCCTGCTTTTTGCATTCTCCTCCCTACCCCTCCCTCTTCCTCATCCCATTTTAATTGTTGGGTTGTTTTGTTTGCGTGTCTGTGTGTTGCTTATTTGTGGTTCTGTTGGTCTGGTGTTCTCTCCTTTCTTCTTGCCCCCGCTCCTGCTGCTGTAGCCCCACAGGCTGTGGAAGCTCGCTGAGCAGGTAGGGGATCTTCCTCTTCATCCACACCAGTGCCCCCCACTCACCACCGTCTCGTCAGCTTCCGGCACTGGGCCACACTAGAAGTTGAGTGCGGAGCCTGGCTGGGGGTGCGGGCCACGGTCGGAGGACTGGCGCCCAGCACGACGCGCGCTCTCAGACGTCTTCAAACGTCGCACGCTCGCGACAAACACTTCCATTACGCACAGTCAGTGGTTTCTCTGCCAGTTTGGGGTCCTGTCCATTTGACTTCACTTCCCACATTTGGTGACCTGTTTTCTGATTTGTTTACTTTTTAATTGGCCTTCTGTGGTTATGTGTTTTGCATTACTCAGAACATCATACTAGTTCTCCACTCAGCACTAGTCGGTAACATGGCTCCTTGAGTAGCCACAGGTTGGAGAGAATGTTCTTTGCGTAATATAGGGTGGGGTGTAAGCTTCCACACAGAGGCTGACGGCACGTGCTGTTCTCTGTCCTCGTGGTAAGAGACCGGTGACCAGGAGTGTTGAGTAGTGCAGCCTGCTTTAAGGAAGGTGTCTTTATCTTATTCTTTTATGATACAAGGTTAAGATTCTCTCCTGAAGAATGTTAGCATAGTTCTTCAAATAAATTATGAGGCGCTCCCTCCATTTTTGGAAATTTGTTTTGGGCTCCATCTTTTTCTACCCAAGGTATCACATGGCCTTCCCAAGAAATAGAGCTAGAATTTTTGGTTTATAACGTAGCTTTAATTGCATTGCTCTTACATGGAGGGAAATCATTGGTCAAAAGTCAACCCAGCATGTTTTGAAGGGATTTGTGGTGCCAAGACCAGATCTCTGCACCCCTGTGTTCGGTAGCTGGGTCACGGGCTGACTCCCGGGCTGACTGCACTCTTGATAAACATACCACCTCCCTGACCTGTGTCAAGACAAAAATAACCTCCCTCAGCTGGAGGAAAGCGAAGACAGAGGCAGCGCTAAAAGGAACAAGATAATTATCTCTTATCTCTTCCTTTTCGAGCTGTCAGTCCGAGTCCCATGTTCTGCTTCAGTATCTTGACCTCTAAAAACACACCTTTTAGAATGCATATAGCAGGAACTTCTCAGCAAACGATGCCTCCTACCCTTGACAACCTGCTAGCCAGACATCTTCACAGTTTCAGCCTTTGTTTATTTGGCAAGACGTGTGGCACACCTCTTTTCTTTCTTATCTTTGTAAATATGATTGACAGTCAAGCCATGTGAGAATCCGGCATAATCCTACTAAGATGCTCCTTTCAGAACTGAGGTTATCAAACTAGACACTAACAGGTATCTTGGAGAGAGGTGTGGGTTTAGTGCTTTTTAGTTTTTGTTCAGTTTGAGATTTTACCACAGAAATTCTCGCTAACTGGTAGGAAGCGCAGACCCAGATGCCTCCCACACAAACTTGAGTTAACCGCGCTGTGTCCTTGCTTGCAGGGGACCTCGGGACCTGACCCAACCACCGTCTATGTTGATATGCGAGCTCTGAGACACGACAGGTACGGTGCGCTTGTGGGTTTGTTTCTTGGTTGCCCAGCGTGCAGGGGCTGTCTAGCGAGGGAAGGAGCATAGTGTCTGCCGGCTGGGAGCGCTGTTGCCGGGGAATCAAGCACCAGTTGGCTTGAACCGCGACCTCTCTCCACCTGTTTGGTTCCCAGTGGGGCAGTCCACTTTGCGCTTTGACGTAAGCAAAGACTGTTGCAGAGTGGGCAGGGGTGACCGGAGTTGCTTCTATAACAGTCTGGCCAGAAGCCTGTGGTTCTTTCCATCACCATTTTAACTGGGCACCGTGTTACACCTCTGTAAGCTACCAGCACTCTGCCCACATTGCTTTTGGGGGTTTTTTTTTTGGTTTTTTTCTTTTTGTTTTTTTTAAGATTTTGTTTATTCATTTGATAGACAGCTAGAGAGGGAACACAAGCAGGGGGAGTGGGAGAGGGAAAGACAAGCAGGCTTCCCACTGAGCAGGGAGCCCGATGCAGGTCTGCCCACATTTCTTTACGGGAATTGAAATTTTGTGTAAAGGTGTTTCCGTGAAAAATTAAAACATCAGTGAAGTTACCTTCTCTGCAGCTTCCCAAGCAGCCTTGAGCAAGAATGAAAGGTGAGCATTTGTCAGTTTCCCTCAAGCGGGGGAAGAACATGGAGGTGTAAGCAAGATGAGAACCTTTCGAGGAATTTCTGCCCCAGCCAGGAGGGCCTACCAAAAAGCCTGCGGTTCCCCACTGAGTAGACTGTTTCTGTCTGGTCACTACGGAGATGCCCACTCGTTGTTGTTTATGTGATGGGACACAGGAACACAGACCCTGATACAGGTGTGTCCGGAAATGACTAGCAGGTGCTTGACGAAGGCATTTCAACGGCCAGACACTGTGGGTCTCCTCCTCTGCTTGCCTGCTGACGTGGGTCATCATGCTGTTCAGCGAGGGGAGAACAGAGTTCGTGGTCACAGTTAGTGGATGGGGGAAACTCACCCAGCTGAGCGGGTGGCCTAGTATGTTCCTGGGTGACACCGAATCCTGCATGCACTGGGGAGCGGGGCTGTGGAGGCCGGGGAGGGGCCCAGGTGGGCCGTGCATGCCCCAGCCAGGCCGGGGAGTACCACCCCTGACTCACACAGGGCATTCCCAGCAGGGCTCTCAGGCCCCGTGGACGTCGGGCCATGTCTGATGAGCGCAGTTTGGGGAGTAGTATGGCTGGAGTCCCAGTGATGAAGGCCAGGGGTGCAGCTAAAAATGTCCTATAGCGCATGGGACAGCCCCACACAGATGATCAAAATGCAGTGTGCTCAGCCTGATAGGCTCACCTGCATCCCCCTAACCGTGTCCCACTGGAGCCGCCTGGTCTCTGGGGGCCTCGTTTTAGACTCTGCTGTGGAAGGGGAATCAAGGTTAGAGCCCTGGGCTGGACGCCCGTGCGGGAGGCCAAGGACAGACATGACCACGCGCCCCCCTGCACCTTGCCAGCTCCCCGCCGCACAATCCCTGTAGATCATGTTCACGACTCAGAAATTTGGCTTTGAAGAGTTCAAGTAACTTGTTCCAGGGGCATCGACACTTCCAAATGGTGACTTCTAGGCTTTAGAACAAATCTGCTTTACCCTCTACAGAAGCTACTTGGAAATGATATTATATTATACCTTTTATACCTTCAAAAGATGAGCAGGAGCTCCCCCAGGAATCCCTGTTTGGGTAGCATTTATGCAGTTCCGCCTGTGGCCTGGCCCCAAACGCGGGACGAGTAAGCGCCATGAGAGCACGTGGACGAACACGGACCGTTTGACCGGGACGGGCAGCTGACTACACGACCGGCCGCCCAAGCAGCCTGTACCACGCGTGACGGTGTCAGGAGCGTCCTGGAGCGTCAGGGATCGTCGCACGGAGGGGACGGAGGGGCTGAACAGAAACCGTAGGCAGTCCTTTCTACGGTGTCTGTGAGCGACCCTGCGGAGGTGTTAGTTGGCAGATGTTCCTGCAGAGAGCATGCGACGTGGGAAAGGGAAGTATGCGGCAGAGTGGTCCGAGCTCGGGGAGGAGTCGGGGCCTGAGATGCAGTGCGTGCTCCTGGTGACTTGCTCGTTCTCCCGTCTTCAAAGTCCGTAAACCTTTTAAGTGACGCTTTTGTCCCTGCCGTGTGCTCTCTGACAAGGCCATCTGGGGTGGAAGTAGAAGTACCTGGGGAGCTAGAGGTTGCTGTCGGTCACACATCTTCACAGTTTCAGCTGTGTCATGACCGACGCTGGTGGCCACATCGCTGGCCACATCGGCGAGTGTCAAAGGGACCCAGCGAGCTGCCCCCACGCAGGACACGCAGAACCCCGCGTCCGCCCTGGCCGGGCCTCTCGGAAGAAAGCCTTCCGCGTGGTGCCTGCGCCCTCCTGCTCTGGTCTGGCGGTCCACCTGCAGTCCAGGCATGCCGCTGCATTCTCACCTCCCGCGGGCGGGGGCGGATGAGGCCCGGAGCTGAGGGGAGTGCCTCCTCTGTCTGTCAGTGTTCAACCAAAACCAAAGCAAACCTGGACATGGCATAACCACTCCTTCAGTGTGGTCTGTCCCCAGAGCTTCAGCAGCCGGGAGCCCGAGCTCCCATGTCCTCCGTGTCCTCCATTGCCTTCACCACCTGTAACAGACCTTCCCGGCCAGGTCGGGCTGAGTCGCGGGCGGACGTGCTGCTCACGCCTGCTTTTCTGCAGCAGAAAACCTCCCTGGGGCCTCCCCCTCGCCTGGGAGGCCCCTGCCTCTGCAAGCTGGAGCTCCCACCCCCTCCTCAAGCTGGGAGTCGTGCCCCCGGGGCCTCGCCACTGTCCACAGCACCCCCAGTCTGCGAAATCCTCCTGCTTTCAAGCCCATTCCGTTCAATACCATCCACCCTGCACGTTCCCCAGAGAAAATAGCACCCAGCTTGAAATCTCCAGCCTCACTTCTGACCTTTATCAACACATAACCAGAAGTGTCTTAGCTGATATGACGGAGAGGCTGTGGGGTCCAGCTGATCAGAGTTCAAATCTGGGCCGGCTCTGTGACCTCAGCCTCCCTGTGCTCAGGACGGGCGTGGTACAGCCACCCTCCGAGGGCCCTGGAGGTGCTGCGGGGGCCTCGGGGTTGAAGCTGTCCCTCCCACGGCACCAGGATGACCTGGGGGCAAGAGGGAGCTCACCTGGCTCCAGGTCCCAGCAGGGGTGCAGGTGAAACAGGAGAGCCTTTGTAAATACTGACCCTCTCTCTTGTCACCATTGTGGGAAAAAAAAAATGGGGCCGTTGTGCTAATCTCAGACGTATGGAGAGTCAGTGATGATTAATCATTTGTTGCTTTGGTACCTTCACTAGGAGCCCCAGGGCACCTGCTTAATTATGATCTAATTAACTTGGAGAGGGTTAACTTGTCCGTGTGTATGTGCAGTTTCCCTAGAGAGAGATTGTGCGAGCTCACGTGCATATGTGGGACAGAGACAGGTGACAGAGGAGAGCCACATTGTGGAAGCCTGTGATCAAATAGGTTACCCAAATTGATTTGATTTCTACTTGACTTTCTGCCTCTTTTTCTAACACCCCCTTGTCTTCTGTGACCCATGGTGTTTGGGATTTCATCCTCTGCGTTTATAGCAAGTCACTGTGGAGAACATTTCTGCCTCACATAGCAAGGGACTGACTCCTGTTGCTGGAGTAGACTTAGACCCACTGTGCACAAGGGGGAAATGATGAAATGGTTTGGGGACTACTTGAAAGTGTTACTTTTTAAAATACTCTTTCTAATATGTTCATTTAAGATGAATTCATGGTCTCTCCATCTCTTCCAATTGGATCTTTCCTTAAGCGCTTGGATTTTGCAGACTTGAGATAGGAAAGAAAAAAAAATTTCAGCATTTAAAGAAATAGTTTTAGGAGTTAAATCTTATGGACACAATGTTAGCATAAAGCTTTCCCTAACTTCCTTACTCCTCCTAACTTGAGGTGCTAAATCTCCAGAAAGCAGGGATAGTCCACTAAGTCCTGGTCAGTGGTTAACCAAGTATCGAGACCCAGAGAGAAGTGAGCGCAGAGTAGACGTGCGTTGGTAGACTTGTGATTTAGTCCACGGCAGGAGCGGGGGCCAGATGAACATAGAACAGCTGAAAAGGGACCCTGCTCTTGGTTGGCTCCCGGTTGTGCGTGATTGGCATGAGGGTCTTAGCAGAACCTGACATGGAGCTCGCATTTATTACTGAATCTCTGATTTCCGGTCACACGGTCCTCCACAGCCACCCGGGAGGTGTGTTGGGCACCTAAGTTGCGCAGGCCCTTTGTGGACCGAGCTGACCCCAGGAGTTCTGGATGATGCTGTGAGCATCGGAGTTTCCCTGACGTTCCATGAGGCACAGGACCCACTGCTCCTGGGTTCCGTTCAGCTGAGCCCGAGCACTCCCTGCCTGTCCGGCGGGGATCGGAGGACCTACCTTGTGGAAGCATCGTGATGGTTCACTAATGTAATACATCTAAACAATGTATTGCTTCTATAGATACATACATTATATATATAGTTATAGATTTGCTTTTCCATCTGTTATATTTGCTGTCCTCCCTTATGTCTGTGTCTGGCTGTTCACAGGTGTGCACACATGCTTCTAGTTCATTGTTTGGCCACCTTAATCGCAGCTACGTAATCGAAGTTGAAGAGATCAGGGTTGTAGTGTGGGTTTTGTGCATTCCTTAAATGGTTCTTAAGAAGTGTACTTGAAAATCAGATGACTTTATCAATGGAGAAAACTGAGTAAAAAGAAAGAGTTCATATTTTGCAACGTGGTAATTTTGGGGTGAATTTCCAGCCTCCATCTTCCGTGCAAGGCCAAAATCTTCCCTGGAATTGGTAGCTTCCATAAAAAGACATGATTCCCTTTACTCTGGTTCTCCCCTCTTTAGAATGCAGCCCAGCATATCAGCCTGTCGAAATCTCCTGAGCTGGCTCTGTGGGTGGGGAGCCCCGAAGCCGTGTCTGAGAGGCCCTGGTCGGGTGCAGGAGGCAGGCCCAGGCTCCCAGCCCCATTCCAAGGACATTTCGGGAGCTGGGAGAGGCAAGCTCTTCCCCTGATTTCTTCTTTGCTTTTCCCCCATCCAGCATCAGCATCCCTTAGAGACCATATACCTTTCAAACCCATCACCTGTTTCTGATCTTTGCACCTCATTCTCACACCTGTTGTCCTGTCAGGAGATCCCTAGAGAAGAAGTAAGAGCCACAGAGGTGCTGATCTGGGCACCAGTCACAGCTCTGCCACCAGCTGGCCGTGTGACCTCAGACCACGTCACTGGGCCTCTCAGCCCAGCCCTCGCTCGTTTTGGGTCCCCCCCCTTCCCCACCCGGCTCTGAATGCTTGGGTGATGTATTTGAGTCCCCTTCCCAATTCAAACATTTGTGGAGTTTTGACTAAGTGTTCCTTCCTTTTCTAGAACATTTTAGGCTCTACTGAGAGATTGTTCTGTGGTCTTTTCTCAGTAAAGATCAAATTTAAATAATTAAATAAGAATAAAAAATAACATATTGACTGGATAGTTTTTGCCCCACTGGTTTATTCATTAAATCTTATCCCGAAGACCTCTACCAAATCCTCTAAATTGGAGCTGCAGATAAACTACAGGACAGCCGGTTAAATTTGAGTTTCAGATACAAGAGGCATCATTTTCCTAGTGCAAGTATGTCCCAAATATGCGTGGGTAAATGTACGCTTTAAAAAGTGCTATTGTTGATCTGAAATTCACATTCAACCCAGCATCCTGTATTTTCATTTGCGACATCTGGGCCCCCTTGCCCAAAATCAGACGCTCACTGTGTTCTCACAGCCACCATGTATGAGTGAGGCATGTTCTCTGACAGTACAGCGATTTAGTTCACGCCCCACATGTTCCCTGGGGGAAGTCTCCCTCTGCAGATTGCTGCCTCCTACATTGATCATGCATTGATCTTTCCAGAGGAAGGCAGACACGGCCCCTGATTTCTCGTCATGACGTGTGCACACGTGGCCAGAGCGACGTGAGCCCTTCCCGGCACGCTGTGCAGGGAGTCCAATCCTGCTGGCTTTGGGGGGTTCTGCAGTGTCTCATGTGGGGTCAGAACTCAGGCCCTGAGAAGGAGGAGGGGTTCAGCAGCTCCCCCGCCGTGGGCTGGTGGCATCAGCCGGACGGAGCACCTGTTCTGCCCGTGCTCCTGCTCCCTCCGACCAGCCGCGCAGTGAGAAAGGCTGTCCCATCATCTCCTGTTCTCTCTTCCCTCCTCATTCTGGTGTTGTGCATACACACATTGCGGTTTTGAATGAAATGGCCCAGAGTGTGACTGGGTGGGTACAGAGAGAAAACGACAGAAACTACAAGTCTGTGAAAACCCTCTTCCAGCTGGTCTGCACCTTCAGCTTCTCTTTCTGTATCCTGGTGACTTATTCTGCTCCCGCCGTTCACAGAATCACCACCACAAAACCCTACAAATGCCATTTGATTATAGGGTCTTAGCAAAGCCAAGGGCAGCCAGCTAATTCTTGCCCGTGTGGCTGTCATACCCAGCCATCATTAGAAAGTGAACGTCATAGATACTTTTCCCTCGAAGGGAAGCATCTCTTTGCTTAAAAAAACTTACTCTTGGAGAGTCCTTTTGTGGAGAAGAGCTGGCCGCCTGCTCGGGTGTGGGCCCGACCGTGGCCTGGGGCTGGCACGGGACCATAGGGGCGGAGCTCAGGGCTGCGTGTGTGACAGGCACCACAAAAGGACAGCGTGGCTTCTGCCTCATGGGATTTAGTCATGGTCTGCGTATTGAAGCAACGTGTGACCTCCTCCTGCACTGCGTGTCCCCTGCCATGTAACAGGACGCTGCAAACGGGCATGCCGGTATCGTGTGCTGGAATGTTCTGCAGAACGGACAAAGAATCGACAAGCTCAGAAACAAACCTGAAGGGAACGGATGGACTAATGGGCCTCCAGACGGGATCCCACGAGAAGGACATGACATTCCCTCAGCCCATCGGGTCAGTCATGAGGAAATGTTAGAGAACCCCAAAGTAATAATGTCTAAACGATTAAATTTTAGCTGAGTAAACACACACAACACAGAGTTTACCATCTTACCATCATTAGGCGCACAGTTCCGTGGCGTTCAGTACACTCATAGGTGGGCAGCCATCTCTGCCACCATCCACAGAACTTCCACATCTTCCCAAACCAAAACGCTATCCCCATCAAACACTAACTCCCCCTCCCCAGCCCCCGGCACCCCCCATTCTACTTTCTGTCTTCATGAACTTGACTATTCCGCGGACCTCATAAGTGGAATCATACAGGGTTTGTCCTTCTGCGACCGGCTTATTCTCCTGAGCGTGCTGTTCTGCAGGTGTGCAGCCCAGAAGTGGCCTGAAGAATGGGGCTGCCCCTCCATGAGGGCAGGTGGCAGCTTTAATAAGCAAAGGGAACTTACACACGCTGCTCGTCTTGGGTGGCAGCAAGACAGGTGGATCCCCCGCACCCACCCACCAGATCTTACAAGTTACAAGGGGCCCTAACTGGGCTCTGTCACATGGACTGTGCGGGTGTGTTCTTGACACCATGTCACCAGGTCAGGGCTGTGTCCCTGGAGTAGCCTCTGGGAGCAGAAAGGCACTTGGAACCCACATTCCAAAGACAGGGGAGAGGTGAGAAGCCTCCGAATGCCCAGGTCCAGCTCACGGGTCAACCAGTGGTCCCATCTTTTTTATCACATTCCCCCACATGTCCTCAGGGCCCATCCATGTTGGAGCATGTGTGAGAATTCCTTCTTTTTAGGGCTGAGTAATATTCCATTGTATGGATGGACCACATTCTGCTTACCCATTCATCCATTGATGGACACCTGGATTGCTTCAACCTTCCTGATGCTGTGAACATGGGCATAGAACTCTCTCTTCTAGCCTCTGCTTTCGCATTTTTCAGGTATATACCCAGAAGTGCAACTGGATCACAGGGTAGCTCTATTTTTAACTTCTTGAGGAACCTCCATACTGGTTTCCATGGTGGCTGCACCAGTTTGCATTCCCACCGACAGTGCACGAGGTTCCCCTTTCTTGGCATCCTCGCCCACACCTGTTGTTTTGGGTTTTTTGATAGTAGCCATCCTAACGGGGGTGAGGTGGTATCTCATTGTGGTTCTGATTTGCATTTCTCTGATGACGAGTGATATCGAGCATCTTCTTATGTGCTTATTGGCCATTCATATATCTCTTTTAAATAAATGTCTATTCAAGTCCTTTGCCCATTTTTAATCAAATTGTTTTATTTTTGAGTGTTAAGAGTTCTTTATAAGTTCTGGATACAAGTCCTTTCTCCAATATAGGACTTGCAAATATTTTCTCCCATCCCGTGAATTGCCTTTTGTTCTGTTGACATCATCCATGGCACAGTTTCTCATTTGGATGTGATCCAGTTTATCCGTCTTTTGCTGCCTGTGCTCTGGTGTCCTAGCTGAGGTTTTTGGGGTTTTTTTGTTTGTTTGTTTGTTTTTTAACAAATCTGATATTGTGAAGTTTTTGCCCTATGTTTTCTCATAACATTTTTATACTTTTAACTTTTGCATTTAGGTCTTTGATTCATTTTGAGTAAAATTATTTCAAATGATGTTTTTATTTTTTATTTATTTTTTTAAGTAGGCACCATGCTGGGCATGGAGCCCAATGTGGGGCTTGAGCTCACGGCCCTGAGATCAAGACCTGGACTGAGGTCAAGAGTCGGATGCTTAACTGACTGAGCCACCCAGGCACCCCGAAGTGATATTTTTAAAAGGCAGGGACTATATTCTTTTTAAACGTCGATTTCATAAAGACAGAAAAGCTTTGGAAATGGTCTTCAGTAATAGAAGCTAAAGAGACGTGACAACCAAATGCAAAACCTGGTGCTCAGCAGGTCCTCGACATGAGGGGGCAATGCTCTTGCAGCCATCACTGGGCTGATGGACAGAACTGCAGTCGGGGCTCAGATCGGCGTTACGTCACTGACGCTAATTGCCGTGCTTTGATTATGCATGAGAATATCCCTCCTCCTAGGAAATGCTTGATGAAATACTGAGCAGTAAAGGGTCGTGATGGATGCAGCGTCCCACCCATCTTCAGAAGGACGTGTGTGTGTGAGAGAGAGAGAGAGAGAGAGAGAGAGAGAGCAGGACAGAGAGCACACACGTGATTAAGCAAGTGGAATAAAATGTTAACAATGGGTGAACCTGACTAAGGGATATTGGAGGTGTTCTTTGTACTCTTTTCATTTTTTAAATTTTCTACAATTTTGAAATTACTTTCAGAGAAATGATACTTATAATGTATCAAGTCCAGAAATTATTTTTCAGGTCTTTCTGTTCTCACTCAAGAAGGGAAAGGAGGTGGGCGCCTGGGTGGCTCAGTTGGTTAAGCGACTGCCTTCGGCTCAGGTCATGATCCTGGAGTCCTGGGATCGAGTCCCGCATCGGGCTCCCTGCTCGGCAGGGAGTCTGCTTCTCCCTCTGACCCTCCCCCCTCTCATGTGCTCTCTGTCTCTCATTCTCTCTCTCAAATAAATAAATAAAATCTAAAAAAAAAAAAAAAAAGAAGGGAAAGGAGGTGTGCATTCATAAAGACCTTCTGGTGGGAGGTAGCAGACACAACTCCAACTATTTTTGGCAGACACGGATCCATGTAGAAGGGAACAGGGTGTCCGACGGAACCCAGGGTAGAAGCAAACTCCAGAACACCTTGAGGGGTGCTCCATGTTGCCCTGTGCTCTCGGCACGGAGCTCTGCCAGACATCTCTGTAGATGGATCGGCTGTTTGTCATCCTGGGGGGACACTGCCGATCCCAGCCCTGAGGTGTGGAAAGGGGTGGGGGTCACGCTAATGGAGACACCGGACAAACAGCCTCCTGGGATGGAGGTCAGGGTCAGCACAGAGGGATGCCTCGTTTGAGTATGTGCCCTTGGCTGGACGTGCTGAGAAGGGCTTCTCCTCTGTGGTCTTCCTCCCCAAACTCACAACCGCTGTCCTACCCTGGGAGGAGTATCAGATGGTCCCCCAGAGCAGCTTGCCCGTCTCCTCACAGCTATCATGGTCATTAAAATGGAAGGTGTGAACAACTGCAGCAGCCTAGAGGGCCTACGGAGACGTGAGAGCTGAATACTCTGTGGGATGCAGAGGAAGGTCATTAGCCAAATATGATGAAGTTTGGACTCGAGTTGACAGAAACGTATTGATGCGGCCCCTTAGCTGCAGCGGACGTCCCTCACATTCTAACACTCGTGCTTGTGTGTCCAGGACCGTGGTTATTGCCAGGAGCCTGGTGGGTCCGCACTCTGCGTTCAGGTTTTCTGTGAATCTTAAACTGTCCTGGGGCTCCTGGGGTGCTGTCGGTGAAGCGTCTGCCTTCGGCTCAGATCATGGTCTTGGGGTCCTGGGATCAAGTCCCGCATCGGGCTCCCTGCTCATGCACACTTGCGCGCTCTCTCCCTCCCCCTCTCTAGTTCACTCTCTCAAATAAAATCTTTAAAAAAAATAAAAATAAAAAATAAAACTCCTAAAAATAAATGCTACGAGTTAAAAGGAAAAGCCTGGATGTCTGAAAAACACGTTTTTCCTAAATTTAATTTGAATGAATTTGCATCAGAATCTTATGAATGGACACAGGGCTTGGCCCACACCCTCAGTTGGGTGTCCACAAACAGACGCCAACAGGAAGAAAAGGGTGCAGGGCTCCATTCAACCTGAGGGAAAGACGAGGAGAAACACAAAAGTCAGGATTTGGAAGGAGGGATGTTGGGGGCAAGAGCGTGTTAGGTTTGTAATTTTATAAGAGAAAAGGCACCAGATGCACATAGGCATTCTCTTTGCACAGTGGTTATATTAGGTAAGCATGCTCTCCTGTTCTGCCTGTTATCACTGGTTTTGGGGTGATTTCCCCCGGTTTGGGGCTCCCACGACACCACGGGGCTGCTGGCCCGCATGTAACCCATCGCTGTTATCAAGGGCTGACTCCAGGGACGAGCTTCCCTTAGAGGCCACGCTGCTTTTGGTGCGTTCTGCTGTTTTGCGCCTGCTTCGGGGCTGTGACCGTGATGTCCCTCGTACGTCCTCGGATACGCTTCCCCAGCAGCAGCATGCCGTTAGTGCCAAACTTGGATGGTAAACTCTGTCTCATTTTCCTCCCTGTGCCTCAGCCACCAGCAGGCTGAGGGCAAGATTCAGCCACAGCACCTACAGTGGAGACCCACGTCCGGGAAGCCGTCACACACACCCCGTCGTTAGGGATGTCCCCTCCGTCTTCTGGGACTTTAAACAGCTTTTCATGCCAGTGGTCTCACTGTGTTACATTCAGCATGTGAGATGCTTCAGATTTTTTGGAAGAACGTTTAAGTGAAAGCCCAGCCTGGTTTCTAGCAGCACGTCCGGGGCATGGGCCAGGAGGGAGGCTGCACAGAAGCTCGTTTCACACGGGCGGACGACTCTGGGTCCTGTACCCTCCTCTGCGTCTGGTGTAGCAGAGCGGGCTGTGGCGATTGAAGGTCAGATGGTGCTCACCCCCAGGTCACGAGCGACTGCCAGGAGGGCAGGGCTGGGCAGCAGCGTGACCAGCAGGGACAGGTCCCCCATCAGAATGCTCCTGACAGCGGCCGTGACGCCCGCCCTCGCTCGAACTGGGGCAGATGGTGTGATGTCTGGGTGGTTTCGTGTCTCCTGAGCCAGTGGGTGACAGTGGGTGTAGGGCAGCATCAGCGGGTCTGGCCCCGGGAGGGCAAGGTGCTCCTGTCCGCGGGGCGAGACTCGTGGTCCACAGCCCCGTGTCAGGTGGAGGAAGGGGGCGAGCGTGTTGGAGAGCTCGTGAGCCTGTGGCATGCTCCCAGCCTGTCCCGCGCAGCGGGAGGAAGTCCTGACGAGGAAGGAAGCCTTTGCAAACAGACCTCTCGCTGCAACGACCCTGCGTCGGCAGCCCCTTGGCATCAGCCCGATGGCGTGTTGCCTTTCCGGGTGAAGCTCGGGTCGGGGTAAGAACAGCCCGAGGACAGAGCACGAGGTAGGGATTTTATCAGGAATCATAAATCTCCCCCATATTACCTGTGTTCCTTGCTGTCTCTTCTTTTCTAGCAAAAGCCTAAACTTCAAGTCATTAAGACAGCCTAGGCGGAAAAACATGTTTTCAGAAGCCCAGGGTTTGCACTTGAGTTTAGGAATGTCAGAGATGAGGCAGGGCTCTTCCCCACAGGAGCATAGCCAGGTCAGAGGGGGATGGGACAGCCAGCGCCCCGAGCGCGCTCGTGTGCTGGTGAGCATCGCGTCGGCTGGGGAGGGGTCTTACTCGGGACCTGGGGAGCCAGCTCGGTCTTCAGGAATGGACATGAGGGCAGCCAGAGCAGTGGTGGAACGTCCCCGTCCCAGGGCTGGCGGGTTTCATCAGCTCCTGCATTGTGTCAGATGGATTCTGCCGCGTCCGTCTGTCCTCCCGAGAGGGTCTCTGCTGTAGGCTCTGTCCTCTCTTGGAAGACAGGATTGCGTTCTCCGCTCCGCGTCCCTGTGGGACAGATCCAGGCCCACTCGCTGGCCGAGAGCCTGTCCCTGCAACCCCTCCCGTGTGCTGTCGTGTGGCCACAACCTTGCAAACTGTAGGGAGAGAGCAGTGCCCACAGCAGCACACGGCCGCGGGCCGCAGGGCAGGTGCCCACTGGATGTCCTCTGACCTGACGCTGGCCAGCTTTGCCTTTTTGTTTAAGCAGGGTTTGGTTTGGTTTGGTTCTTTTTCATTTCACTCTCGGGATATTTTTCTTTTCATGTGGATGAAGGGCAATCTTCTGTGGCATTTGTAGCCTTTTCATGTGGGACCCACTGTGAGCGATGCCAGCACCCTGTTCCTGCTCCCTATGGAGACACAGTACACCGTTTCCATACTGACCACAGAAGACCTTCCTCATGGTAGAGCCTCCTTGCTTCCACATGTGAGATGAGATCCCTCCTTTCTCTGAGTGTCGGACAGGGAAGGACAGGGCACAAGTAATCTCTTCGAGCAGGAAGAGGGCAAAGGAGGCCGCTGTTCGGGGAGGCAGACGCCAGCCAGTGTGCATGCGGCCAGGAGCCCCGCTCGCTGAGGCAGCGTGCCTTTGTGCTCTCCCCTCGTATTGGCCAGGCATGGGCCTGGGGAGAAGGCTGCGGGGAGGGAGAACAGGTCCTGGCCCCAGACGCCAGCGTCCAGGGACGTTGCCCCTTGTTTTCTGGTTCCACCCTTGACACCAGGATGCCCTTTCTGACATCCTCACAGTCCTAATGCAGTGGTCAGAGCTGCTTGATATGTCCAAAATGCCCGGCCGGGCTTTCTAACATCCTAAAATAGTGGTCACTGTGCGTGGACAGCCAGCAGAGCGGAAGTGTGTCTGAAACAGCCCTCATTTTTGGCTCAGAGTTTTGCTCCCCAGCCTGACTTCCTGGCCTGTGGGGGTGCCTGTCCTGGTTGCTGGCCCGCTGGGTACCCCCAGACACAGCAGCCCTGCTCACGCAGGGACCAGCCACACAGTGGGCCTGCTTGGCCCTTTCTCCGTCAGCCCACCCACTCCTCTAACTGTCCGCCCAGTTTGGCCTCACATCCCCATGGCTTTCTCCATCTGTAGCAAATTGCCGATATCCAGACGCCCCAGATGGGCAGCCAGCCGCTGGACACAGGCCTGTCCACTTCACCTGGCTGTTCAGATGAGCCTGGCGCTAGCTCAGTGTCACGGTCCTGGCCTCCCGACCCAGCATGAGCACCACGTCTGTCTACAAGCGCGACAAGGCGAAGCCCGCAGGTTCTCAGTGCTGTTGTGATGGGGGCCATTAGCCCTAACGCAGCCTCCCTGGGTCCTGAGCGGGTGTGTCTCTTACAATTCTGGAGTAATGCACCGGGTGCATTATCTTTGAAGGTTAATGTCATTAAGCCCAGTGGCATATTCTAGAACTGTTCCCGTAGGGCATGAGATCTAGGCTGTTTTTCTTGGATGACCCCTCGTTTGCTGCCGTCGGCATCAAGTCTTCCTTGAGACAAACACCGGGGATCCTAGTGGTTACCATATGATCCAAAATTGGACTAGTGAGTTCTTCCACATCATCAGATGACCGCTGCCACCGCTCAGGTGCTCTCCCTCCCTCCCCAGGGCTGCTGAAGAGAAGGTGTCAGTCCTCCTGTTCCTGCCCCCACCCCCAAGATTCAGCTGCAGCAACAGGAGGCACCACACCAAAGGCTGGCTGCGGAGCCCCACATGCCCAGCAGCACCCCTCCGGCCCCCTTCCATCTTTGGAGCACTTACTAGCTAGGAGGAGGATCGCTGTGATCATGCAGAGGGTGGCTGGGGCGTGCTGAGCTTCACTTCCCCACGGGCGTGGAGACACAGCGTCCCACCTCTCCATGCCCCCAACTCCCGCTCCACAGGGTTCAAGCACTTTCTCCTGCGCTTCACTCTCTTCCAGTAAAAACTGCCTTTTGGATGAATGAACTGCATCACAGTCCTGTAGTCCGGTGGCCAAGATGCAAAACCAGGCGTTTAAAAAAAACAGCTGGGAAGGATTTAGCCAGCTCAGGTTGTGATCACACCAGTGTCGTCTGCAGTTGTTTGTTTTGTTTTTTTAAGATTTTATTTATTTGAGAGAGCGAGAGCATGAGCGGGGGAGGGGCAGAGGGAGAGGGAGAAGCAGGCTTCCCGCCGAGCAGGGAGCCCCACACGGGGCTCAATCCCAGGACCCTGAGATCATGACCTGAGCCGAAGGCAGATGCTTAACAACTGAGCCACCCAGGCGTCCCCGCCCACAGTTCTTAAGATTTAGTCACCATTAAGTATTTTTTTAATGGAAAAGAGTTTCTTTTCTGAAAGGAGGTTTTGCTGTCCAAATTGGCCAGTCCTGTCCCCCAGGGCTCAGACACACCTGGGTCAGAAGGTAGACTCTCTGCAGCCACAGATCTGGGCCCTGCTGAGGCCTCACAAGCACCTCAGCCCCGGGCAGTGCGGTCCCCACGGCCTGCAGTGGGTTCAGAGCTATGGTGCAATGCTTACTCCTTTCCTTTTCTGCAAGTGCTGAGTTGAGTCCTGGTTCCTCTCGATGCAGAATCATTTTCCCAGCTGTTGTGTAGGCTTGGTGACTGGGATGTGGCCTCTGTGGCCTGTCCCGTATCTCTCTCCATCTCCCCGCCAGAGCTCAGCCGCCGTCTGCTGCCAGACCACTTATTCTTTGATTTCTGAACTGTCTTTGTGTTGAACGGTGCTCACGAGCAGACTGAACATCCCCCAGCAACCCACCCGGCATTGACCAGGTGCTGAATATGGAGGAAGGGAACCGTAGGCTCAAAAACACCCAAGTCATCGTACTTTCTTTTTCTGTTTGCAGAGTCCGCTTGGTGGAAAGAGGCTCTCCTCATAGCTTGCCCCTCATGGAATCAGGAAAAGTAAGTATTGAAGGAAGAAAGATACATTTCTGTGTAAGTTTGAGTCTCGGCGTATGGGCTTTGACATTTTAAGAAATGTATTTTATATAGTATCTTCTCCAAAAAGTTTTCTTAAATGTAGTATTTCAGGACTAGGTTTGGCCATGAGTACAGAAACTCCACAAACAACAGTGTTTTAAACAAGTTAGATTTTTTTCTTTTTTTAAATTTTTTTAAACAATTTCTTTTTAAAGAATTTATTTATTTGACAGAGAGAGATGCAGCCAAGAGAGGGAACACAAGCAGGGGGAGTGGGAGAGGGAGAAGCAGGCTTCTCGCGGAGCAGGGAGCCCGATGTGGGGCTGGATCCCAGGACCCTGGGATCATGACCTGAGCTGAAGGCAGACGCTTAACGACTGAGCCACCCAGGTGCCCCTAGATTTTTCTTTTCTCTTACATAAAAGACATCATGAAAACTCCAGGGGCCCTGCCACCTTCTGTCTTGTTCTGCTTTGCATGGATCCCATTCCCAGGGTGCCTCAGGGTCAGAAGTGGCTGCTCCCACCCTAGCCATCGTTTCCACATTCCAGCAGCAGCAAAAGCAGCAAAGGGAAACTAAAGGTGCAGACCTCAGCAAAGGCTCCTAAGCCACCTTATACACACTTCAGTGCCGCTGTCCAGAATCTGGTCATGCAGTCACACTGGCTGAAAGAAAGGTTGGAAACGTTGTATCGGTTCTGAATATCCGTGGGCCTAGCTAAAAACCCAGGTCCAATTGCTGTGAAAGTAGATGAAGAAGGGTGGTCAGGGGACAAAGTAGTTTCTGCCACTGTGGGTATGTTTTTCACTTACACCTAAGTGAAGACTTCTTTTTCCTGTTTTTGGCCCCACTTGACGTAATTCCAGAAGTGCCTCGTGTCACTTCTGGACCTTTTATAATCTCCGTCTACATGAGCGCCAGTTAGAGTTCTAGTACTAAGTTGGTTCTAATGGTAGGACTCTGTGCTTGCCTGCCCTAAGCCAGCCGTTAGCAGGACGAGGGACCAGAGCTGCCATATTACACGTCAGACTCAAGGGACGGGACAGGACTTCTCACCACCGATGTTTTGCCGAATCTCAACCCTTCCCAGTAGCTGAACCAACACAGGCTGTTTTCTAAATTTGCAGAACCAGCTTTTGCTGCCATATGCATGTGGTGTTAGTGAAATTCAGAATGTTTCCAAGCCAAACTTCCATTAAGAGGGAGATGCTTGATATGAGCATTCTGATACAAGACAGTGACGTGCAGGAGGTTGTTGAAGCATAACCAAGATGGAGAGCTGGACGGGCATTCAAGTCAGAACACGCTGGGATGCGCCGGCTCTTCCTCCCACCACCGCACTGTGCCGTGCCCACCTGCGCTTCCAGTCCACACTCATCTTGGAAAACTTGATCCGTGACCTCCTTAATTCAATGCCTACTGCAAACCTCACCCCTTCCTCCACATCAGCGTCCCATGATGTCACGCACAATGTTAAACATAACTGGAAAACTAATTGAAATACCTGAAGATTCCTGTTTTGCAAGCATCAGGCTGAGTTACATCATTTATCCTGTTTTTATTCAGATTCTTAATTTTAAGATCACATTAACACAGGCTTTATCACTGTAGTAATAATTGCAATAAGATGCAATTGTCACATAGTAATTATGTCATGCTGTGGTATGTAATTTTAATTTAAAGCCATACTACTTTCTAAACAGTTTTAGAAAGGAAAACAGGCATGTGACATGAAGGCAAGGTCAAGGCTGATTGGAGTGTAGCATCTACCTCTCTGTCCACTGACCAGAATGTTCTCCTTTCCCACATAGATACTTCCAGGGGTTCGGATCATAATTGCCAATCCAGAAACAAAAGGACCGTTGGGCGACTCCCACCTGGGTGAGGTGAGTTACGGGGTGTCCACCCAGGAGAGGTGACTTATGGGTTGCTCACCTGAGTGAGGCAAGGTATGGGGTGCCCACTCAGGAGAAGTGAGATATGGGGTGCCCACCTGGGTGAGGCGAGTTACGAGGTACCCACCTGGGAGAGATGGCTTATGGGGTACTCACTCGAGTGAGCCGAGTTATGGGATCCCCACCCAGGAGAGGTGAGTTATAGGGTACTCACCTGGGAGAGGTGACTTATGGGGTGCTCACTTGAGTGAGGCAAGTTATGGGGTGCCCCCCTGGGTGAGGCAAGTTACAGGTGCCCCCCAGCAGAGGTGACTTATGGGGTACTCGTTCTGGTGAGGTGAATTACGGGATGCCCACCTGGGTGAGGCAAGAGGCAGGAGGCAACACCTCCTGATCAGATTGGGTAAGTCTCAACTGACTGGCTGGAAAGTGACTCAAAATGAGCTGTGAAAGTTCAGGCTACAAAGTGGATTTCTGTAAGGAAGCCGTCATTGCTGAGTTCATGGGGATGAGGACGGAGCAGTGTGCACAGAGCGTACGGCCACAGCCTAGACTCATAGAATATCAGTAAACGGTAGCAAGCAGGTTAGGAAATGACAGGTATTTCCTTCGGTCGGAAAGTCCGTACTGCCTTTGACCCTTCAGCCCATATTTACGGTGAAACCCAGCTGACCACCCCTCCTGCCGCGTGCGGCTGGAGAACACACATCCTCAGCCCGCCGTCCCCGATCCTTCCCCTGCCCCACTCAGCCAGGCCACAGAGGACGCAGAGGACATCAGGGAAGGGTGCCAACACACTTACCTTCCCTCCCGTTCTCTCCAAGGCCGAGCCTGCCCTGTGCACTGGGTGGAAGGAAGCCCATCCTGCCCGGGGAGAGCCTCCTGGCTGTCAGGGTCACTGGCCCTGTGTGGTCAGCTTTCCCTCCTTACAGACCTGCCTGTAGCTGACACCCCGTTAAAAACACCACCGCACAACACACAGAGAACAAACCAGTGGTTGGCGGAGGGGAAGGTGGGTGAGCGGATTAAGAAGTACAGACTTGCAGTTGTGAAGTGAGTGAGTCTCGGGAATAGAGTGCAGCCTGGGGAGTGTAATAATGTTGCACGGTGACTACAGTTACTGTTCCACATACAAGTGTCAGATCACTCTGCTGTGCACGGGACGCTAACCTCCTGTGTCAGCCCGCCTTCAGCTGAAACAACAAAGCTGGGCCACCGCTTCTTCCGGAGGCCTCAAGCTGTAAAGAGTGACTAAAGGACAGACTGACCGCTCCCCAGACTCCATTTCTGTGTGGGCTGCGGCTTGGCCCTTCATTTGAATTTCTCAGTTATGTGTAAAGATCAGAGCTGAGGTGATAAAATTCCGTACAGATCTTATTTAGGAATTTCCTTTAAGTACATTGCTAGATGAAATTGGGGAGGACAGCGTGCTGTCTTGGGCACCTGGGGGGGCCGGCCGGGTGTCAGAATCCACCTCACTCTCGTTTTCTGACCGGGAATGTGTCTTAATGAGGAAATTGTGTGTTGGAGAGCAGGGGACAGGTTTCATTCCCCCTGAATGATGGTGTCACTTCTGTGTCTGCTCTAGGCTTTGGTTTGTTCAGCACAGAGGACTAGGTGGCCGCAGGTGCCCAGCGGTGAACACATTTGATATGTTCACTTTAAAACCCTCAGTCTGTTTTAATGGGCTTCTCGAGAGGTGGACAGCCTCGTTGTTCACTTAGTGGCTCTATTCCAGTAAATACTGTGGCGTCTGAGTCTCCCCTGAAGCCCGCGTGAGATTAACACGGCCGGGTTCCCCGCCGGGCATGGGCACTCTGATGTCACTGACTGCCCAGGTAGTTTCCTCCCTGCAGATCCTCCCCAGCGAACTCACCCAGTTCTGTTGCCTCCTTCACAGATCTGGGTTCACAGTGCCCACAATGCCAGTGGTTATTTCACCATTTATGGAGATGAGTCCCTGCAGTCAGACCACTTCAACTCAAGGTTAAGTTTTGGAGACACCCAGACGGTCTGGGCACGGACAGGCTACTTGGGGTTCCTGCGGAGGACGGAGCTCACAGATGCAAATGGAGGTAAGAGCCCGGGCAGGTGGGTGGAGAGGCCCCCAGGCCCTGAGAACATTTGTGGGACTGGGACACCAGCCCCACGAGCACATTGTGCATGCTTGCTGCAAACCAGCTGAGCGTGAAGGAGAGGAGGATCGGTGTGAGTCCAGCACGCCAGAGCCACGTGAGAGACTTTGTGCTCCGTGAGCGCAGTCTCTCACGGAGCCAAGGACAGATTTAAACCCTGCACAGGAGCAAGGACACCATGCCCCTCCAAGCAGTGGACGGACCCCTCGCCCACCCGCAGCAGCCCCATGCCCCCAAGGCCCACCTGGACAGCAGCTGCAGGAGCGCACCCACTGCCCTCTGCCTGACCGGACCAGGCCTGGCCTGTCGGGAAAGGGAGGTAGCGAGGCGCTCAGTCTTGGGCAGGGGGAGGCACTGCTCCCTCCTCTGGTGGGGGCTGGCGCCAGGCAGGAGAGTTATAAAAAATGAAAAGGTACAGGTCTACTTGTTATGAGAGTCTCAGCTCCTAGTTCCACTCAAAGTAGAGGCAGGACTCAGTTATTTCAGAGGATGGGAGCTGAGATTTCCTAGGGAGATCCTGCCGGACCCAAACCCCAGGAGGTGAGTGTCTGGGAGGCTTGCTGACACACCTGCCTGGGGGGAGCTTTGTGAACCTGGTTGAATTGGCGTATATTTAGTGGAAAAGCGCAAAAACATTTTGGCATCGCGTTTGCAATTTGGGAAAATCAAAGACTGTTTTATTTGAGGGTGCCCTCTGGGATTCCTGTGAGGAACGAAGCAAGGCAGGGCCATGGTGATCCAGACCCCCCAGGAGGAGGGACAGGTCCCATCCCGCGGAATTCTGGGGTGCTGGGGACAGCACTATTGCTGTTTCCTCACCTCTGTGACCCCCCAAAAGATGGGAGTCCTGCTGCAGTCATAGAAGCCAGCAAATAAACATCCCCATCTCATCCGACTTGAACTGGAAAAGATTTTCCCACTCGGAGGTGGAATTCTAGCAGTTACGGCCTCATGGGATGCCATCAGAGGGGGCGGGGTTTGGTTTTGGCTGTGCTGCGCCCTGACCTGTGGCTGCGGGAGAGCACGGCATCTGCCGGCCGCCGAGGGGCGGAGGTGCTCCCGAGGAGTAGGAGATAGTGTATTGAAGGTGTGCAGGAGCTGGTCCAGGACGTGCGCTCTCCCCCGGGGTGCTGAGGTGTGCAGCTGGCTCTCCGTGAGACCATGATCCCGGCCAGGCTGGTGTCCTGGGGGCCCCGGGCTGCACAGCGTCCCAGTAGAAAGGAACTAGCTACCCGCACTCAGTGACCCCATTCCTTGGCATGTGTCTCTCACTCAGGGGTAGTTTTAATCTCAGTATCTTACAAAGCAGCTTGAGCACCATTGTGGTGAGGTTCACACACATTTTCCACTCCCTGCACAGAGCGCCACGATGCCCTGTATGTGGTGGGGGCGCTGGACGAAGCGATGGAGCTGCGGGGGATGAGATATCACCCGATAGACATTGAGACCTCGGTCATCAGAGCCCATAAAAGCGTCACAGAATGGTGAGTAGTGGGTGGGCATTTGCACCCAGCTGCCAGTGACCAGGCCGGCTAGGGCCCTTGGGTTCATCCTCCCTCCCTGGTCCATGTGGTTGGCTGTGCTGCTGGTGGGGCTGGCCTGGGGGCCCCGAGCTCACTTGGTGCCTTTACATGGTGATAAAGGGTGCAAAGAGGCTCCACACCGTTAACTGTAGGTTTGTTCGTTCATTTGGCCCCAGAGCTGGCAGGGACCTGATGTGATCTCGAAGCTCAGGAACCCCAAGGGAGGCACATTCTGAAATCGCTCATGAGTAGTCCTTCCTGGTGGGTAGATGGGCCTGAGTTGTTCATTGCCCCTTGTGAGCTGATTACAGGCTAGTTATTTGTTGCCATTTATGGGACCTGGACACGGGCGGCTCGGCAGCCTGGAAGAGAGAAGAGAGAGTTTGCGAACCCACGCGTGGCCCTGTGCTTCCGACGTGGTGACGTCCCTCCTCACCCCGAGGCTGCTGGAGCTGCAAGTGGACAGGAGCTGGGATCCCTGGAGAGACTGCAGCCCAGAGACGGCACAGGGCTACCTCAGTTTCCATGCCACTAGCTGTACATACCGATTACAGCCTCCCAGTCTGTAGTTTTAAGAAAATAACTTAGACTGGTTTGTCTTGCCTACTGCAAACATTTTCCATCTGGTTGCAAAGGGCTGTTTCCACCTTAAAGACCTGTGACGGGGACTCCCTGCCGCCGCCTGTGGGTTTCTGTTCCAGGATTCGAGTTTTTGTTCTAAGCCCTGCTGTGGCCTCACCTGATGTGCGTGGGGCCTCGCACTCACCTCGCCTCACGTGTGCACCCATAGTTCCATCCTGCGGGGCTGTGGTCCTTCAGAAACCGCCCAGCACAAACTGCTCTGTTCTTCCTGCTTCTTCTCACCTTCCCTGCCCGACCTGGGCGCCTCCTCCAGCGCACACCCTCGGTTACTTCGCACCAAGGCCAAAGGCAGACACTCACGTCCCTCCATGTGGCTGTTTCAGGGTGGCACGGTCCAGCTAACCAAATCTTGCCCTTCTCATCCATTGTCTCCAGGGTTGGACATCTGTGGCCCTAGGAAAACAATGCTCATCCAGCCCATCACTCCCTGGCAAACCCCCTCCTCCATCAAATACAGAAACCCCGGTTCCTGATACTGTATCATAAGCGTCAGGTGCTATAATAAAATTATACCGCAAGTGGCTAATATACATGTAAGATCTGTGATATCACAAATTCAGTATGGGCTCACTTGGGCCACACAGAGCAATGTTTTAGTGTCATAAAGTGTCCTTTTATGGGAATTTGGCACCAGCGCATCTTGCGAACAGACCTTGGCAGGACTGTTCCCTTAGGTACACACTGATCACAGCAAACTCGAGAAGCAGTAGTCTGTTGAACACATTCTCCAATATTTCCCTTCCACAGTAACGTATATATTGGTCATACTAAACAAAACGTGCAGGTTTTTTTCTGAATAGACATACCCATACAGTTTTAGAAAACTGTAGTGAGTTTCCCAAATACTTGCTGCCTCCTAGGCCCTTCTGTGCGTCTGGCTGGAGGACACAGATGCCAGCAACCCACTGCAGGCCCCTGGAGCCTGGCCCCCGCCTCCCCCGCCTCTTCTGCCCTGGACGCTTCTGACCGCCTCAGCCAGCAGACCACGGGCACCAGGAGCAGAGCCTGTTAAGGCCCTATAACCACCCCCATTTAAAGACCAACCTTATAAACTGCAGGTGGCTTAAAGTGTAAAGTACTGAGTTTAGGCTCCCACAGATTGTCCCGACCAAGTCTTCTGGGTGACCCTCCACTGAAAGATCCCAAATAAAATGCTTCCAGATGAATCTCTGATGTTCTGGAGGATCTTTCCCCCACACAGGTCACCTCTTGCTGCCTGACACTCCTTCCAGACTCAGTGCTTCAGACAGCAGCGTGTTGTTGGGCCCCCATGTCTGCAGTTGACCGCTGGGTTGTCTGGCCCCAGTGTGACTGGGGCCCACGGTCAGCCAGGCACCAAGCTGGTGGCTCTCCACGTTTCTCACCCTCCCTCGACGTCCCCCATCCTGCTGTGGCAGAGGGAGGTCAGGACCGGCCCCAGAGCCCCAGGGGCTGTCCGGCCTCTGCTAACTTACCGCTCACCAAGCCCAAGGCCAGGACTCCACCTTAGGGGCCTGGTGTGCACATGGTGGGGCTTCCGTGGCACCGCGTGCCCCTTGGCCGCAGCTGGGGGCAGAGGGCAGGGCCGTGTCAGGGTGCTGCGTGGCACGGAGATCCCCTGCGTGCGTGGCGGCCCCCGTGAGAGCCGGCCGGTAGAAAACCCTAAGCACAGGAGTGTGTGCAGCCACCCACTGAGCGAAAAGCCATGGGCTCAGAGAGACCGTCAATGTGCAGGCAGATCAGAAAAGAACCAGATGGCACTTCTTGAAAAGAAAACGAAATTGTTACATAAACACCTCACGGCATAGTGATGATTTTTTACTCTCTTGCAGCGCTGTGTTCACCTGGACCAATTTGTTGGTGGTGGTGGTTGAGCTTGATGGGTCGGAGCAAGAAGCCTTGGACCTGGTCCCCTTAGTGACCAACGTGGTTCTGGAGGAGCACTACCTGGTGGTGGGGGTCGTGGTCGTGGTGGACATCGGTGTCATCCCCATCAACTCCCGGGGAGAGAAGCAGCGTATGCACCTGCGGGATGGGTTTTTGGCAGACCAGCTAGATCCCATCTATGTGGCCTACAACATGTAGTCTCGTCTCTGGTCCCGTAGACTTTTCTAGGAAAGTAAACGTTTTTCTCAGTGTCACTCAAGTTTGCAGACATGAGGGCCACATTCGCCAGAATGGAGCCTTTGTTCACGCGGTGGTGAGACTTTCCACTGCAGTCCTGATTGGCATGGGGGTGAAATGTGAAATGTGAATTTACCACTGAAGTTTGCTCAGAAGGACTTTGGATTACTGCCTTCAGTTTGTTGGAAAAACCCATTTCAAAACTTTCTTTTCTTTTTTTTTTTTAATTATTGGATAATAAGTGCTTTCTTCGTAAATGTGGTATTTTGTTAAGCCAAAATAGCAATTAAAAAAATATTCTGCCCTCCAGATGGGTTCTTTTAAACAATTTATGTAGTGTGACAAAGAATTGTTTTCTCTGTTTAATGTGTCATGAAATCTTAATGACATGGACCTTGTTACTAATTTAAGCCATTGCTAGATTTCATCCTTTTAGGAAAGTTTGTTGAGGTACGAGAAAACCTTCCAAATAGCACCTTCCGATTAGATTTTAGCAGCTTTCTTTGTCAGAAATGTGCTGGATAAACAAAGGCTAACATATGGCCTTTGAAGTTAGCATAGAATGAGAAGAAATTATAAATAAGGTGTATTTCGGCAACTCTCTTGCAGATATCTTTGTACTAAACTAAAAAGATAAAATAAGTTAACTTCTTCATATGTAATTATGTACAAAACGTTTAATTTATTTTGATCTCTTTAGAAGTATAAAAGAGAAAAACATTCAAGAACATTAAAGTCTTGTAATGTTTGCTAATATAAAAAAGTGTTGTATTATCTTGCGTGGATAGTATCACAACAAATATATATATATGAAATATAAATTCACTAATGAACAAAGGAGATTTTAAAGTTTAAAATGCAGAACCTGTCACTTGCATGGTGTCCCCTCCACTGTACTGTAGATAAAGCGAGATTCTCTCACACCCACTTGGCTGATGCGAGCAATCCCAGATTGCCGGTAGCCCGGTCTAAATGTTTCTTCTAGAACCAGAGACCAGCAAGTGAAATTATTGCCATCTCGAAGTTGGGGAAGGAATTTGAGGCGAAATGTGCACTATCTTCCCTTCGCTGCGGGGGCAACGGTGAGCGGTCTGTGCCAGTGTGAGCTTACGACGCTGAGCGGACATTAGGGAAGGCAGGCGCTGAGTAGCACTGCTCTCTTAGCTGCAAGAAATCCTTGTTGTTCATCCTTTTTGTTAATGTCACCCTTTTTGGTCCTTGGTATGAAAAGGAGTGCTCTTTTATGGTCATTTGCACCGGGTTGTGTTGATTCCCCTCAGATGGCCATTGTATGGAGTGGACAGACTGTCCAGAACAGCTTTAAGGGAAAAGACTCACATAGGAGACCGTCACCTCAGCCAGCTCTCTGGGGTTCCCCCGCCCAGAGCTCTGGGGCTCCCCCCTCATGAACCGCCCCGGGACTCCTCCCAGAGCCACTGGCTGGAGCGAGAAAGCCTCCCAGCTGCCTTCATTTCACCACCTGTGGATGACACGTTTCTGATTTCCGTCTCTCGCTGCTGCCGCCGCCACGTCTCATCTGTACACTCCTCGATCGACATGGCCCATCTGTGTCCAGCCAAGAAGAGGTATCCGCTGTCCGAGCGTGATCTATCTTATAACTGCCCCAATATGACCCTGCAGTGGCTCTCGTTGCTAGAAGTGCATGGCCAAGATTGTTGCTGGGCAAACCTTAGAGTCTCTTTTCACCATTCTGTAGGCAATGTCTTCATCTGCCTTTGCTGTGTGCGCCAGCAGTAAGCCCTTTGCTAAAAGAGTTTTGTTTGACTTCCGAGATCCAAGGCTAATTGTTTTTTAAAAATTTTCAGTGGCATTTTTTTAAATTTGTCTGCATGTGGGGTGCGTCCTTCCATCTCCACAAATTATTTGATCTTTAAGATATTGTTTGACTTCATTGCTGTGTGTGAATCTTCTCTACATGCTTCAGATACACATTCCTACAGTCTTCTGCTTCCTAAGGGGGAAAAAACCCACCACACACAGAAAAAAAGATGTTTTCTTACACACACCCACCTTGTTTAAGGGGAAGGAGGTTTCAGGTTTCCAGTAAGATACTGACTAGGAAACACAGCTACGGGATAACTTGTGAGGTCTAGCTGATGTCGGAAGCAAACAACAAATCAGGTATCACTTCCAATATGACCTTCACCTTCACCTTCACCATGTCAGTTTCACGTGCAAGGCGGGGCGGTTGTGAAAGTGGTTAGTGACGTCCTTGTCATCTCTCATGGTAGAGTTGAGGTCCAAAGGGTTGGGGGCTGGGATCGAAGGTCATTTGTGCAAGAAAAAGGAAAGGAAACCCGTTTCAGCAATAAAGAAGGATTGTTCTGTATTAGAAATTGTGCTGTAGATAAATCATTCATGAGAATGTAACAATGTTTGTCTTGTGACCTTGTGCTTTTGAAGTCAGACAAAACCGTGTAATCAACTTGCACAAAGAAGGGTACACAATGAACATTGAAACACAGACCTAACCCAACAGGGCGGCTTCCTCATGGTGCTTGTTTATTATATATATTTAATCCTGCTTGACACTTTACCCAAGGGAAACTGCCCCTTTTATCAGTTGAATGTTAGCAGCGTTATTTCATAGAGTGTGGTGACTGGTTAGAGAAATTCATGTACTCAACCAATCACGGTTTCAAACAAAATTTTTATGTGCAAAGGACGGCAACCTTCTCGTATGTTAAACCACCAGTAAGCTTTGTACATCTGTGATAACGCCTGTTTTATATTCAAATGAACAAATAAAAGCTTTTATTTTTGTTGCTCTGAAAATAGCAGTTTCTTAATTGGTCCCCTGGAAAACTGTCTGGGACAGCTTCAATCCCAGGAAGGAAGTGACTCCTGCAGGGAAATAGGAAATGTATCTGACTCTGTTTACATAATTTGTTGCATTACTTATTAGTACAGATAAATCATACTTTGAACAATGTTTAAATTTTGATGTGGGCATTTATTGCTTAAAAAATTCCTATGGCAACAAATGTTTTGTGAAATGTTTTTTTAATTCTTTTAAATATATCTAAATATATTTGTTCACATTTGCTGCAAGTGTACAGATTCTTGGTAAATTTGGGGGACAAAGAGGAAGCCTGAGTCCTGTGTGCCAATACTTTGTCAGCCGTGTGACAGGAAACCTCTGCATATCAGGAAGTAGGCCTAGCTGGCTATTCCAACCCAAATTATCTTTGCTCGTTTGACAACCTTAAAAGCTCTGTCTTTTGCCCAAGATCTGAGAATTCTTACAGGTTTGCCTCGTGGAAAGCAGTACAACCTTCAGCCTAAGGGTTATCAGAAAATGAATTGTGTACACATGAAAATGATTAGCACCCAGATCTGCACCCCCAGGTTACCAGGCTTAGCCGAATACCTGCGGGTGAGAAGCCCCGGAGCACCCCGGCCGGCTGAGGACGGCGCCCCGGGAGCCCGGGATCGGGCGGTGCCGGGGACCCGCAGACACGCCCACGGCCCCAAGGCGGCCCTGCTTCCCAGAGCGCATGCGCGCGTGCGGGACTTGCAACCTCGGGCGCCTCGCTGCGCTCGCCCCTGCACCACGCTGGCTTCCCGGACGCGGCTGGCATCGGCTTGGTGGCAGCTCGGTCGTCTCCCTGTGTGGTTATCTGCCCCGCAAGGTCCTGGGCGCGCTGGCGGGCGGTCCATGCACCTGAGGAGAGGCGAGGGGCGCGCCCTGGCCCCCCTCTTGCGCGCCCAGTGCCCCCTGGGAACCCGAGGCCCGCCGTCGCGCCGCCTCTCCGGCTTCCAGGCTGAGTCTGGGACCCGAGTGGCGCGCAGGGCCGAGCTCGGCGCCCGACTCCGGCCGGCAGGGGTACGCGCGGTGCTGCACACGCGGCGTTCAGCAGGGGTGGTGAGTGGGGATGGCAGGGACAGCAGGCTTCCGCCGCTGCGTCTGAGGCTTCGTGGTGCTTCGGGTTTGGTTTGGATTTACTGCCCCAGCTGCAAAGACCTCTGGGCGAACGAGTAACCCGTGCAGACCGGCCGACAGGCCTTCCCGCGCCAGGGTTCCATTCTTGCTTCGTGTCTGCACGAGGCCTGCCCAGCAGAGGCGGAAGGGTAGAACGCCCTAGGAGTTGGGTGGAGGACGACTTCCTCGTCGTCCGCCCTGTTCTCAGGAGCGCGAGCAAGACAGCACCTGTGTTCCCCTGGGTGTGGCAGCGAGCCCAGGTGCAGGTGCAGGTGCCGCTACTCCAGAAGGCAGAGGCTGGCCCGTGAGAAGGAACAGCACTTTTTCTGAGTGTCCCGCAGTGCCTGGCAGCAGGCGTTCGGTGAGCACTGGCTGAAGGAAGGACCTCGTCGCGGCTAAGCGGTATCAGGGTCGCTGGGAGCAGAGGGCTTGAAGCCCTTTGGGACATGGATGCTAGACAGACAGTAGGAGCTACTGGAAACAGGAGGAACGTTGCTTGTTTTCATAACAGGGAAGATGCCAGTGAATCCTGATAGCCACTCAGGCTTTGTAGCCGAACTTAGGAATTCTAATGACCCATTGTTGGGGCCCAAGTGTCCCCGCCGCTTGACAAATGACCGGAAACATCAGAAAGAGGATAAAGGAAGACGATGGGAAAGGGGGAAGGAGTTAGAAAAAAGCGATGCGGTTAGCGAGGGGATCGTTTACTCGGCAGACAGCGGCACGTTAGGAAGACCTCTGACATGGTAGCGCAGTAGAAATGGGAAGTGGGAAGACCCGGCGAGAGCGTGAGGGACACGGGAAGGAGCCGGGTCTGCGTGGACCTCGGTGATCAGAGCCTGGGCAGAGTCTCCCAGCCCTTGCATGCCTAGGACAGAACACGGTGGCGGGAGATGTTCGCCGCTGTCACGGCCTTGTGAAGGGAATGTTGGGGCCACGGGGGGCAGGGAGCGACCTAGATGATGCATCCTGCCTGCCTTTACTGCAGCGAAACCTCAAGAGGACCGTGTCCGGATTTGCCCGTGAACAGACCTCCGGGGCCTGCCCAGGGGTGTCTGTGCCTCGGAAGCCTGAGATGGGGCAGTGTGGGTCCGGAGTTGCCCCGCCCCCACCGGCTTCCCCTGGGGACGTTTCTGCAAGGGGCCAGAGACACCCGCTTGTCTTGTTGAGTGACACTTGGTGAGTTGCTGGCCCATGGCTATGCTTCCTTGATCCACTATCAGAGGAGACATTTCCCCAGTGTCTCCCTCCTCAGACCCACCTGGCAACGGCAGATTGCCCCTGACCATGACCAGACAGGCTTTCCATTGAGGATGGGTAGTACCAAAAGTTTACAAGACTGAGAACCTGAGGTCCCTGGCTTGTGTGGTCTGTGCCTAGTGCCAAACAAGCAGGGAATTCTCAAAAACATGCTGTTTTCACCATCAAGAGGAGCTACTAGCTACTGAGCGTGCATCACAGGCTTTCGAGAGTTGGTTATCTCTGGTCATTGTAACTAACCCAGATGGTCACTCCAACAGCTTCCCAGACTGACAACAAGTGAAGCTCTTCCACCAGCACTGTGGTTCCTGCAGACGACCGTGGGCTCTGAGGGTGGAGTTGGCTATTGTCCATAGGTTTGAGGGATGCTTTTGGTCAGAACTAAGTCGTGAATCTTAGAGGGCAGTGATGCCTGAAAGATAACAAGACGCACCAGGTATGGGTGCATCTTGGCAACACCCCAGCTGGGGTTCAAGCAGATCTTTGCCAGCCTTCCTGGGCAGGCAGTCAATATTTCTGTGACGGGCCGGATGTCTTCTGTCTCAGCCACCGTTTCTGATGGTGTGACACAAACGCAGCTCTCAGGTAAGTGGGCAAAACTCCAGTCCAATAGAACTGTATTTATGGACACAGAAATTTGCATTTTGTGTAACTTCCTTTTCACAAAATACTATTCTGTTGACTTTTTCAATTATTTAGAAGTATAAGTGCTATATTTAGCTTTTGGGTTCTACAAATAGACAGCAACCCAATTTGGCCCCGAGGTCATAGTTTGCTGATTCTTTTTTTTTTTTTTTTTAAAGATTTTATTTATTTATTTGAGACAGAGAGAATAAGATACAGAGAGCATGAGAGGGAGGAGGGTCAGAGGGAAGAACAGACTCCCTGCCAAGCAGGGAGCCCAATGCGGGACTCGATCCCAGGACTCCAGGATCATGACCTGAGCCGAAGGCAGTCGCTTAACCAACTGAGCCACCCAGGCGCCCTAGTTTGCTGATTCTTGTTCTAAGGTACAAAGTAGTAAGACAAACTTTTGAGAATTAACTTTGATTCTGATTTTTCCTTCAAGAGGAATTAGTTTCTGAGTCTGATTATTTGGTCTTCGAAAAATTTAATGTTCCAAATTCTGTATCATTCCCTTATCAACAAATATTTGAGCACCAGCCATTTGTGGTTGCTGTGATAAAGTAAAGGAGCCCCACGACTTTGAATTTTGGGTCTAGCAGAGACTGAGGCATGAGCTGGTCCCCAGTTCCACGCTACTCAGAGACTCAGGTTTCGTCTTGGTTGCACACAGAGGAGGTCACATAAGCTTTGCTGTCTCTAAAAAGAAGGGGTAAGACTAGATTGTCTCAAAGGTCTCATTTCCCCTACACACACAATTCTTTTAACTCATCTTCTGACTAAAATATGATGGGGAAGTCGAGGACTCATTTATCTCTGTTTCCCTATTACTCCTTGTAACAAGCCTGCCTCCAGACACCAGAGCTCTCCTGGGGCGCTGGGACTGCTCCGACAGAAATTGATTTTTAATTCTCAAAGTAAACCCAGAGGGTCACTGAAGACATGCTTTGGGTTGTTTGGGACATTTTTTTGCTCGTACAGTGGTTACACAAGGGTGACCATGTCAGGTTGGTGGCGTCATGGCTAGTAAGAGACAAGCCCAACAAGTGGCTCTCTCTCTCCCAGTCAACTCTCCTCTTTTCTTAACTCAGGAGTAGGGGTGTTGGGGGTCCCGTACTGAACAGAATCCTCCAGTGCTCTAATTTCCTAAAACAGCAACAAAATCCCCCAACTGTCAAGATGCTTTGTAAACAGCAAAGCTCAGAAGTGCTCATAGTACCTAATTGATAATCTCTTAGCAGAGGCGACCCTGTTTGCTGGTAGTTCCTAACTCTGTCGAATGTTTAAGGACATGTGGAGAAGCACTTGAGAAGAAGCTCTTTTAAGAGCCCCCACGCTCTTGTGTAATGTGAACAGTTAAACCCTCCATTTGGTTTGTTTAAAGTCAGATATTCAGGTATTAATATGGTCAGTATTTTGTGTAAAGGGAGCATGTAAAAGGATGACCTGTGAAGGATGATATTCTACAGAAAGCTCCTCTTCCCCCCTCGCCACCTCTTTGTTTTTTCCAGTCCGTCTTTTCAGACATCTCTATGAACTAGGTCCTCAGTGCAACTCAGCCATGGGCTTCAAGGACGCCTTGCTGCTCAGAGAATGAGGTCAGTAAGTCCCACGCACTTACGGAGTTCCTACTGTGTTTTAGAGCACTTGGGTGGGTATAGATATGGGGATCCAGGAGTCACAGAATTGCCAATGACAGCAATCTAGTTAGGGAAATAAAGCTAGGAAACGAGAAATGGACTGGCACATTATGTGTGTGGGTGTGCAGACCTCCCCTGGAAATGATACAGTTAGGCAAGGGAAAGAAGAGAAAAAGATCACTGCTGGGGCACCTGGGTGGCTCAGTCGTTAAGCGTCTGCCTTCGGCTCAGGTCATGATCCCAGGGTCCTGGGATCGAGCCCCACATCGGGCTCCCTGCTCCACAGGAAGCCTGCTTCTCTCTCTCTCCCACTCCCCCTGCTTGTGTTCCCTCTCTCGCTGTGTCTCTCTCTGCCAAATAAATAAATAAAATCTTTAAAAAAAAAAAAAGATCACTGCTGTCTGCCATCAGTATCCCACAATTTACCACATGGGCATTTAGGAAAACCTATTTTTTTTCATTTTGGAAAAAACGTAACTTTTAGAAGTGTTTGATTTTTATAATATAGTTGACATACAATGCTCTATTAGTTTCAGGTGCACAGCAGAGTGATTTGACCACAGTGAGTGTAGTTACTGTGACCATACAAAATTAC